ATCGATCTGTTTATCTTCTACCTTGGGTTGGCAGTTTGGTCTTCGTACTGCCCCTGGGGCCCCTCAGACATTTTCTTTGAACTGGGAAGTAGAATTCCTTCTCCCATGTCCACCTTTCCTTCCACCCTAGCCTCTTACCAACCCCCTACCATAGGAGCGGTCCAAAGTCCCAAATAATGCCATCTGTGATTCCCTCTTTAATCCATTCATGCTAGACTTCAATAAATTCCAGCCATTCCCCTGATAGCTACACACAATTTATGGTGGGTGTTTCTCTCAGCCTCTTCCTCCGTGGAGGGACCATGTGTATCCGACTAACCCCGTTTATCCTGTTGCTGGTGTTTGGTCCTGGCAACAAATTCTCTGAGGGCTAGGTAGGAATATGCTTGGTATCTGGGACAGTCCTCGTATTCAAGCTTCCTCTGATGTTCATTTTTCTCTTCTAGCCTTCTCTCTTTAAAGGCGTGAGGCCCCTTGCAGTCCACGGACTGTGTTTAGAAGTTAATCCTGAGTTTACAGCAGCCATGACATTCTGGGAGTAAAATATAAAAGAAATGAAAGACAGTAGTGAGGATTAAGGGGCTTCAAAGCCACTTCCCTATTTCTGGGGAGTTTTCCTATCACTCTGTTTTTATCAGGTACCTTTGTTTCTTGAGGCTTCTGTAACAAAATTGCCACAAACTTGGTGACTTAAAACAACAGAAACTTGTTCTCTCTGTTTGGGAGGTGAGATGTCTACAATCTGGCAGAGTTGAGCTCCCTCCAGGTGCTCTAGGGAGAATCTTTCCTTGCCTCTTCTGGCTTTGGTGGCTTCCCCAGCCTTCCTGGCTTGTGATGCCATCGTCCGTTCTCTGCTCCAGTCTTCACATCGCCTCCTCCTCCCTGTGTTTGCCTTCTCTGAGTATCTACCTTGCAAGTGTACATGGGATTGTACTGAGGGCCTACCCGGGTAATCCAGGCTAGCCTCTTTCTTTCAAGATCTGTAACTTCTGGGGGGAAAATAAAGATCCTTAACTTAAATCACATCTGCAAAAATCCTTTTTCCAAATAGGTAACATTCACAGGTTCTAGGAATTGGATGCAGATATATTTTGGAGGAGGAAAGGGGCATTTTTTTTTCAGCCCACACAGCGGGGGACAAAAAACTAATATTCATCTTGTAAGGCGCATAGTACCTTATATTAATTCTACGGCAGTCTGTCAGCGAAGTATTCTTATTCACATTCTGTAGATAAAGAACTTTAAACCCAGAGAGACTTGCTCAGGATCACTAAACTGATAAGCAGGGGACTTGGGTTCTCTCTGGCTGCACAATCACTGTGTTCTACAGGCCATGGCAAGTTAGGGATTCCATGTTGTTTCTGACTGCATGCCAGTGGGCAAACCACCTCACTTCCAGGGCTCAGTTTACCCACAGGATGATGAGGTGGCCATCTCAATGTCCTTTTCATCCCTATAAGTCTGGCATCAAGAGACGTCACCGATCAAATGAAATTACAGTATAATTTGCATAGTCTTATTGTTGGATAGAAAAATTGTTTTTGACCTTGTCACCAAGAAATACTTCATAGAAAAGACGAAGCTTCTTGGCCGTAGGTTCTACCTTATTCATGCCCTACTTAGATCCTCCAGCAAGCTCCAAAGTTATTCATTCAGTCGATAATTTTTTCATCACGTTTATTAAGTATATTTGATTTTCCCAGAAAATTTAATGGACATGAAGAAAACAGTGAAGTTTGGAAAACCCAGACATGGTTCCTGATGGAATTTAAAATGATCAGGCTGAAGAAATCAGCCCTACTGTCTCTGCAGCAACATGAATTAGTTAATTCTAGAAACCTTTAGAGTGGCAGTTCTCAAGCTTTATCTTGCATCAGTTGTTATCTGGAGAAGCCGAGTGCGGTGGCTTATGCCTGTAGTCCCAGGACTTTGGGAGCCTGAGGCAGCAGATCTCTTGAAGTCAGGAGTTCGAGACCGGCCTGGTCGCGAACCAGTAGTGAAACCCCATCTCTACGAAAAATACAAAGTTAGCTGAGCATGGTGGTGCCTGTCTGTAATCCCAGCTACTGGGGAGACTGAGGCAGAATAATCACTAGAACCTGGCAGGTTGCAGTGAGCCGAGATTACACCACTGCACTCCAGCCTGGGCCTCAAAAAAAAAAAAAAAAAAAAAAGAGGAACAAAAAATATCTGGAGGGCTTGTTATAATGCAGAGTTTCTTACTCAGTGGGTCTGGGATGGGGCCTGAGAATTTGCATTGCTGACAAGTTCCCGAGTAATTCTAATGCTCTGCTCTAAGGACCACACTTTGAGAATCGCAGCACTAGAACAATTCCCAGCTGGGGGACCTTGGACTTCTAGGCTACTATGGCATTTTGTGAGAAACAAATATAGCCTATTGTCTGAATAAATAAAAGTAAAGCTACCATTATGTGGGTTTGTTTAAATATTTTGATGTTAAAAAGAAATCTTCACTCTTAAAAAATTTCTATAACCCTTGAACAAATGCCAGAAAGTCAATCAGGTTTTATCTCTTTTTGCCAACACTGAGTCTATTGGCAGAGGTTTCTGTAGTGTTGTGCTGAGAATGATTCAAATCCTGCATCTTGGCCCAGTAGAAAAGAGAGCTATAATGCATTAGAAATATTTGTCTAGATGAAGGAGAGAGAGTGAAAGTAACTGTACCATGTATTTGCCATTTTTTAATTTAAATATTGAAGTTGTTACAATTTAGACTTGTATCTTCTTCTCTTCTAAGTCCACACTCTTTGGAAGTCACCTCATCAACCCATGGTTTAAGGATCATCTGTATGCTGATAATGCCTTTCACACCTCCTGCCCAGCTCCCGCCTCTGACTTCCAGAGCTATTTTTTCCAACTGTCTTCTTGACATCTCCACTTAGATACTGCATATGCATCTCATAGTCAACTTTCACATGTTCAACAGCGAATTGTTGATTTTCCTCCTCAAACTGCTCTATTCTCATCTTAATAAATGGATATCATCCACTATCCATTTATTTTGGGAAAAGTTCTTGATCTTTCTTTCTTGCTCCCATGTCATATCCAATTCTTACCCAAATTCTATTGATTCTACATCCAGAGAATGGCTTCAGTGCCTTTACTTCTTCCCATACTCACGGTCACTCACAAGTCACCATCGTCTCTCACCTATGTTGTGCCAACAGCTCCACTTCCATTTGTCCTTCCCTGTAATGAAAGTGGAAGTGATTTCTCAGCACCTTACAACCTTCAGCTGCTCCCTATTTTGCTCAGGATAAAATCCCAACATTAATACCTCATCCCACAAAGTCTTGCATAATCCAATGTATAATCCAGACTACCCTTCCAACCATTGTGTTCCAGCCACACTGGTCTTTCTTCACTTTCTCAAATATCTCAAGCACTTCCCCACCTCAGGGCCTTCCATCTTCCCTGCCTCTGCCTGGAATGTGCCATCCCCAATCTGCAAAGGTGCACCTACCTCCCTGTCACAATTTAGAAGACCACTTCCTTAAGGAGGCCTTCCTTAATCCTCTCAAGCTAAATCAGATCTTGCAAATACTCCCAGGTGGGATTTTTCATTCCACTTTACCCAGCTTGTAACACTTTTTTATTTTTTTATTTACTTATCTTTTAAGTATCTTTGTTTCTACTAGACTGTTAGCTTCCTGAGGGCAAGGAATGTATCCCTATGGTCTCACCACTGTTCGCCAGCATCTGGTTCAATGCTCATAGATGCTCAAATAATATGCATTACATGAAGAAATGAGTAAAACCACAAAAGGTAGAAAAGGTAGAAACATTTTGCTGTTCATTTCAGATCCCTTTCTCTTATGTCTACCTGTCCAATTTCTCCAGTTTCCTGCCTCCTCCCTTATGGAGTCTTGGCTTTCCACAGACGAAGGAATGTTTGTCTGATGCTGGGCAAAGAAGATTAATGACAAGGTGGTGAGAGTTTCTCTTTATGCCAGCTCCTTTGTCTGAGTTCCCAGCTTGGTTCCCAGCCACCCACCAGGCCTCAGGAGACAGTTCTTCAGGCAGTGTTGGTGAGCTCTGTGGTGTCACAGCAAGATCGCTTTGTCTTTCACTCCTGACCATGATGTGCACTTTGTGAGAAGGAAGCTTGCTTGAGGCACAAGATTCGGGACTGGCTCCACTTGCTAAGTTGGTTTTGGTTTTGCACAGAGAAATTCTTTTGAACTTGGCTAGGCATTTTCAATATCATCCACAGTTTGATTCCAGATTCCACAGCTAAGCCTTGAGAGTAAAGCACCTCTTATTTTGAAGACCAGCATTGAAGAAAGAGCAGATGGGATGTGGTAAGGGGCAGGGTCATGATGGGGGTCAGGAGGCAGGCAGCAGAGCTGGAGGAGAAGGAGGTGTGACCAGAACCTTCCCTGTACTGGATGGAGAGCTGAGCTGCGGCGGAGTGCCCCATGGTGAAGCTGGTTTCATGTTCTTCACCTGCCCAGGTCTCTCGGCAAGGAAACCATCTAGGCCTCAGTGCTTGCAGCAATACTATTTGGAGCCAATGCTCCAGTTCTGGAAATTCTCTTCATTCACAGGCATGTAGAGGAGCTAGGACACACAGGCAAAAAAATTAAGCATTAGGCCTAACATCTTACATATCAACTGTTCCTTTGTTTTTCTCACTTTTTTTGTTTGATTTCCAAGGGCATCAGTGACTGAAGAAGTTAAACGTCCTAGACAAACTTGAAAATTTAAAAACGTCTACACTCCTGCTGTTTCTTCCTTTGTGAGAAATGATTTATGCCGGTCATCAAAATGCCTAGAGCCCAGGGGTGCTACGGGCTGAACGCTTGCATCCCCCCAAAATCTATACGTTGAAGCCTCAACTCCAGGTGTAGCTACACTTGGAAATGGGGCATCTAAGAAAGTAATTAAGGTCAAATGAGGTAGTAAGGGTGGGGTCCTGACCCCATAGGATTAATGTCTTTAGGAGAAGAGACACCAGAGACAGTTCTCTCTCTCCCCAGGTACGCACCAAGGAAAGGCCATGGGAAGGCACAAGGAGAAGGCAACCGTCTGTAAAGAGTGCTCTTACTGGGATCTGATCCTGCTGACTCCCTAATCTTGGACTTCCAGCCTCCAGGACTGTTATTTAAGCCACCCAGTCTCTGATATTGTGTTATGGAAGCTCAAGTAGACACATGCAAAGAGCCCAGATATCTTCCTCTTGCCTTCTTTCCCAAACTCACCTGTCTTAGATTCTATTCCATTGGTTCCAGTGTAACAAACTGATTCATACTGGTTTAATAATCAGGAACAAATTTCATCACCCCCCTCAGAGACATGGCGAGAAATAAGGCTTTTGACACCCAGCCAATAAAACAACCTAGCAGCCACTTATTTGTCCCTCCATTTCTTTGTGGTATTGGCTGGTGTTCAGGCTGGCTTGAATTAACTAAGGAGAGAGAATGGAAGAGGAGACAATGGGAAATGAAAGGCAGTAGACAGATTTTGAAAATGTTCACTTTTATGCACTATTATGAATCTATACTTTGCTGCTAGTAGGGAAATAAAAATGACTAAGATGTTTCCTCTACCCCAAACCCAACGTTTAAAGAAATCAAACCTAGTGAAAGTGAAAAAAACACTAAGTCATTGTCATATTTTATTTTATTTTATGTATGTATGTACGTATGTATGTATGTATTTATTTATTTACTTGAGAGGGAGTCTCACTCTGCTGCCCAGGCTGGAGTGCAGTGGCTCACAGTCTCTGCTCACTGCAAGCTCCGCCTCCCAGGTTCACATCATTCTCCTGCCTCAGCCTCCCAAGTAGCTGGGACTACAGGCGTCCGCCACCACGCCTAGCTAAGTTTTTGTATTTTTTTTTAGTGGAGACGGGGTTTCATTGTGTTAGCCAGGATAGTCTCGATCTCCTGACCTCGTGATCCACCCGCCTCGGCCTCCCAAAGTGCTGGGACTACAGGAGTGAGCCACTGCGCCCGGCTGTATTTTATTTTTTCTAGTATCTAAAACACTGGGCTTACAACAATCTGGTTTTATACTTTTCTTATTTAAAAATTATTTTGTTCAATTTTTTAAGTGTTCAGGGACAAAACAGGGTGGATTTCCTTAAAAAAAAATACTATTTGGCAAAAAGCCAGAATTAGCTAATAAGAAATCTTCAGAATTCTGAATAGCATACACCACATATATGCAATAATATACATAAGCTGAGAAAATAGTAGTAAGAGCTCAGCCACCAGAGAAATGGATTTCCGATTGGGAGGACATTGTTCTAGGATTTAGACTCTGGAAGCCAGTCTATTGTGGAGATTTTATTTCTTCGTTTTTCCCCTTTTTCTTTCTTTCTCTCCTTCCTTCCTTCCTATTATCCTCTCTTTTTTCTCCCTTCTTATTTTATGGATATTTTACATAGCAAATCTTAGAATGATTTTCTTTTATTAATGACTTGGCCCTGTTCTGCAAAAAGAAGAAAGTGTACACACATTAGCTTCTTGGAAGCAGCAAGAGAAATAAAATAGTGGTGCTAATTAGGGTAATCAGAGCAAGGATGTTTGACACCCAGAGGAGAGGGAAGAAGACTGGAAAGCAGCCACTCTCTCTATAACCTTCTACTCCACGGCACTCTCAAGGCCTGGGGAGAGAGTGAAGCTTGTTCCAGAGCTCTGGGGAAGCTGGTTCATGACTCAGGTTCAGTGTCCCATGAAGGTTACTTTGCTTCTGATCCCTGGTTAGGAAACCACGGGGCAGAAAGATACTTGGATGTAACTGGATGTTTGTACTTCTTTACGTATTGTGATTTATTGCAAGTTGATGTAAATATTGTATGCAATTATTAGTAACCAAAGATGAATTGCTATTTATGCTTTATGTTAACAAAAGCATTATTGTTTGTAGGAATAGCATGAGGGGCTGGATCTTGTAAGTGTGAATCTGGGAAAATCTTAAAAATTGAGACATATTAGTCTTATCCTTAAGCATCACCACAAAATGAGATTGAGCTTGGTAGGAAATCACCATCTCTAATAAGGAAGGCAAGATCTGTCCCTTGAGCTCAGATTGGCGACTATAAAATGATGACTGCATAACTGCCAGCCAGGGAGGGGACGGCCTCCCACGCAGGGCCCGAAAGAGTTAACTGCATCCCCACATGCCCCTCCCTTGCTTCCCCAGCTCAGGGATCTTACTGGATAGGGCTGGACTTGTCAGGAGAACAAGAACCTGCAGTTCAACTAGGAACTTGGACTTCCCGCATAGAAAAAGTTAAAAGGACTTGCAGGAACGGGGAAACCTGAAAATTCTCTGAAGAAGAAAAGAACAAAACAAAACAAAGCAGGGTTTGTGCTAGTTCATTAGACGCCTCCATACCTGTTTGCCTGGGGATTTGAGGACACAGGGAAAGGCAAACAGAAGATGAAAATAAAGCCAGTGGGGCGGGCTTATTGTCACACACACTTTCAGGGCACTTGAAGAGGGGAACGTCTGCGGACAAACGTATGTTTGGGGGGCCTGGGCGGCACTGAGGGCAGCAGCCTCCACCAGACCCCCACAGGTGCTCTGTGTCCAGGGAGATGTTCCCTCTGGAGCCCTCAGGAGAAACTCCTTTGGGTTTTTGTTTTTTCCGAGACCTCAGGCACGACCCTGCAAAGCGAAGGAATGATGGAGGTGGCAGAACACGATTGCTTTCTGTTCAGAAGTGTGTGTGCCCCCAGGCACAGGTGGATCTACTTCAGCCTCCTTAGACCACAAAATAATATTTCTCCAGATTGGATGAATGCAGGGGCTACCCAAAAGATTGAACACTCAGCATCCACACATAGCTCATTCATTCAATACCTGTGAACCACAGCTCCAAGTCTGTGGCACCCGATCCCTTGACCCTGGGACTTCCCTTGCAACACGCAAATTAAAAGATAAAATGAAGAATTTCAAGCTGGTGGCTGCATAGTATTAAACCTCAAGCCATTGAGCAAAGGGCTTTGTGTGATGTTCTGGTGTTCTGCAATAAGTCTTTCTAAAAATGTTATAATATTTAAGTAAACTTAGTTTTTGCCATTTGTAAACAGAAATTAGTACCAGTCAGTGCTATCCAGAGCATAGGTAAACTGGAGAATTAGGCCCAGTTGGGACAAAAAGCAATAAAAATATTAAATAGTGATAATTTACCAATTCATGGCCTGCAGCACAGAAACAACAAATTGAAATATTGTCTACGGTTACTTAGAACGCGGTGCTCATTGCAGCAAGGTTTTGGGAAACGGAGTGGCCACTGTTTTGCTAAAGTGTACATGACGGGAGGAAATCAAGGAAGATACAGGGGAGTGGCTGCTTCTGGGTAGCAGAAGGAAAGACGATGGTCAGATCCAATTCCTACATTCTTTGCTCAAGGCACATAAGGAAGCTCAAGCACTTTCTGTGACCTTGTGAAAAGAATCTCTCATGTCTTGCAGGCACAGGGCTCCGATAAAAACAATTTCACAGTTTGATCCTATGGGCTGCCAATTTACAACAGTTGAATTCACAACCTCGTGAGGTGTCGTCTGTGAGAGTGAGGGCATGGTTAGGAGTGGCTGGGAAGCTGAGAATTGGATGAGGCTGCATAGGAGCGCTAACAACATTTGGAGCCATTCCTGTTACCGTCAGCAGAGGCAGACTCTCCTTCTCCCTTGCTGATAAGTCTGTTAAGCTTTGCCTGAAAGTCCTATAACTCCTTTGATGAGTCAATTCTCCTCATGTCTCATCCCAATTACCCACAATTATCTTCTGACCCATAGCTATAAACAGATCCCAGCATACCCCAAAGAGTGAATAACAAATCAAAGCCAGAAGTCTTACACACCCTTCCTTGTTTGCATTAGGTATGTCTGAATAGTAGGCAAAAGAATAGCTTCTGAGTGTCTTAGATTTAAAAGAAAAGAATATATTTTTAAGATTAGGATAAATGTATTAATATAGGCTCACTTTCCATTTATCCTGAATTCAGTACGCAGGACTTAACACCTGAGCTTGATTTCAATTATGTTTTGGGTTGATATATTGAGATCTGGACTAAATGGTGCCTCAAGTAAAATAAAGTTTATATGCCAACAATTCTTTGGTTTAATGCAGAGATAAAGAATCTGAATAATTTGAGAGATGAAAATGGTGGAGTAGATTTATTACTGAGTGATGCCTATGAATTTCTTAATTCTGTAATCTAAAACCATTCCATTCACCAAGACATTAATCAGTCCATTAGTGAGGAAAAGGCCAGAATCTTTAATCAAAGCTTTAGAGGTTGTTTTCTTTAGGCGGGGTACTGATGAGACATGTTTATATGGAAGTGTGCTTCCCAGTTTCAGTGGATTTGGGAAGATCCCAGCATGGAAAGGGTCAAATAGTAGCTCTTACTCATCACACAGATACTGTTGATCACCAAGGTAGATGTGGTTATCATAATAGACAGCATGGGCTGCATAGTTATTAGAATGGTCTCAACTACAGGGTTTTTCTTGTTTTTTTGTTTTTTGAGACAGAGTCTCACTCTGTCGCCCAGGCTGCAGGGCAGTGGCCCAATCTCAGATCACTACAAGCTCCATCTCCCAGGTTCATGCCATTCTCCTGCCTCAGCCTCCCGAGTAGCTGGGACTATAGGTGCCAGCCACCACGCCCGGTTAATTTTTTGTATTTTTAGTAGAGACGGAGCGGGGGTGGTTTAACCGTGTTAGCCAGGACGGTCTCCACCTCCTGACCTCGTGATGCGCCCACCTCGGCCTCCCAAAGTGCCGGGATTACAGGCGTGAGCCACCGTGCCCAGCCAATGACAGGGATTTCAAGTGATGGCTAACTCATCCTGATGTAACCAGTGCCAAAAGAGCTACATAGCCCATCTAAGTACAACGGAATTTCAGTAACTTTCAAACAGCAGTTCTGCAGACAGAGGTTGGGCTTGAACTCCACAATGAAAGTCATGATCCCTTACTCAAGTTCCAGACATGAAACAGTTGACCAACACAGAGCCTCTTGAATGAAGAAGTTGATTGCCCTGAAAGAAGGACCTTATGATAATACTATATAATATATACTATGAGTCTTCTTAGCCTTCACCAAAGAAGATTGCACCCATGAAGCAGGGTAAAAGTGTCCAGGGAAATGTAAATACCCAGATGTGTGGGTAATTTGTCTCCATGCCTAAATCAAACTGCTTCCTGCAAGCCTGCTGCTGGTGCTGCTCGGGCCATAGGATGGTCCATGGGGTTACTCAGTGCTCTCCCTCAGTTTCTACCATGGCCTTCACGGGTTCACACAGCTTTACTCTCACCCTCCTGTAGTAACGGCCCCCTGTGAGATGACATCCCCATCACAAGGCAAGGGAACAAGTTAGCCTCTCTCC